TCTTGATTTACCACATGATTTTGGCATTAGCTCTACATTTAATATTGAGGATCTAGTTGCATACCACAAACCACTTCCTATTCCAGATGATCCATTTGAGATACCACTTAACTCCCCTTCTGATGATCCTATTGAAACCTCTATCCCTTTCATCTTGACATCAGCACAAAAGGATAATATTGATGTTATTCTGGATAAACAAGTTGTTTTTAACAGGAATGGTGAGGTTCAACGGTTTCTAATTCGTTGGGTGGGTCGACCTGACTCAGATTGCACTTGGATTACTAGAGATACTTTGCAGCAGCTTGATCCAGATCTTTGGAAATACTATCAGAGTCGGCCAGTACTACACTTGAAGGGATCGGGTTTCTCTAACCCCGGGAGAATTGGTGGAGACATCAGACCCACACCACAAATTATATGAGTATATAGACGAAAACGGCGTAGAATGACCCAGCCTATCACACTTTGGTTGGGAGACTAAACTCATTTGAGCCCATTGCATTGTTATTTTATTTATTTAGCCTATTTAAAGCTGCTCATTGTTATTTTATTATTTATATTAAACAGTTTGATTTGATAAGCCGAGCCCCATAGCAGGATGTTTTAGGATTTACTATTTATATATTCTTCTGTCATTTTGAGAGATAGTTTTTGATGATTAATAAAAATTTACAGGCTTTGCATATCTTCAATCCCCTTTCTTTTCTTCTTCAGCTTCTTTCTGTTCTTGAATTAATTCTATTACTTATTGTTCCACGACACAACTCACTGAAAATCCCTTCTCTGTTTTGGGTTCTTTTGTTTATTCCCAGAACAATTCCCAAGTGAGCTACTAGATAAACAGGTACACAACCATTTATAGATATCTCCAAATCGGCAGGGCATTACCATTTGGTGACAGGTTAATATTGCATTGCAAAGTCCAAGCACCAAACCGACCAGTACACTATAAACTCTGTGTCGGTTATTGTAAGACTTTGACAGGAACTAAATATTACACTGTAAGCTCGAGTGATAATTAAAAGGAACCGTGTGACAGGCCATAACCCCGGCCACGACCAGCATAACCATAGCCTCTTCCATAATAACCAGCACGTGATCGACCACCTCGGCCAGGTCCCCAACCTCCTCGACCACCCCAATGGTGGGAGAAATTAACAAATGCCTGCAAATTTAAATCAAGAGAAATTAAGCCCATCAATATTGAAACAAAAATTAATATGTTAACAAAGAGTCATGGCAATAATTGAAAACAAAAATTTATCATTTCAGGAGTTCAGAGTGTTTTTGAAACTTTAAATGTTCTAAAATAAAACAAAACTCTTAACACAATCCCCACATAATTTAATAGCGGCAAAAACATTGACAAATTTTATCAGGATAGATTCTAAAATTAGAAAAAGCAAAGTGATGAGGGTTATAGGGGAGAACACATACATCAGTATCTCTTCTCGACTGCTGGGAAAATCTAGCTCTCCCATTACGTGATCCACCATCAAGAGCATCACATGATATGGAATCAAAAAAGTCATCCTTCACATAAACAGGCTGCAGAACCCGCAACACAGAGTAAGCAAAAGTACAAAGGATTTGAAACAGCAAATCCTTTCAATTTTATTTTTTTTCTGTGCGTGCTCATATGTGTGTGTGTGTGTGTGTGTGTGTGTGTGAGAGAGAGAGAGAGAGAGAGAGAGAGTATACCCTGGTCTCAAGTTTCGATGATCCAACATCATCTTCATCTAGCAAATCATTCCTGTCTTGAGCTTTGTGGCTCTTACCAAGGTGACCCCATACTTCGTCCTTATTGAATTTCTCATTCATTGCTGTAAAATCAAAATCCTCCTCGAATCTGGTAGCAGAACGCGAAATCTGCAATCCCAAAGGTTGACTTGTTAAAACTCAAAGTCCACAAAGAATATTGGCTACAGCTACTTTGGTTTAGAAAAGCGAAACAGACAAATTACTTTTCTAGAGTCAGCAATGAACTAGCAGTGATTAAGGAATGGAGAAATTAAGCACAAAAACAAAGACCACCTCTGCATCTAGAACTAGTAATTGCTTGTTAAAAAAGCAAAAACAATAACAACTAATAATAATGAATAACAAAGGAAAGGGAGAGAAAGAAATTAGAGCATGTGAGACTAAAGTAGGATGTTTTCAGAAACTTCCCATTTGATATTCTTTAGAAGGAACAGCTCATCTGATAAGGTTCTTATTTTACAATGGCCATGTTACACAGCATCAAATTCAAATTGCCAAATCATGACGACATCAAAAAAGTGATAAAAAGGTTAAATCTGCCAATATGGAAATGCAAGGAAGACAGCATATACCTCATTTTCTCTTCCCCTTCCACGTCCTCCTCTACTAGTATGATAAGTGTACATAGGCGCTCCATATACCTTCAAGGAGAAAAGAAACAGATGAGGTAGATTACAATTCACTAATGTGAGCAACTTGTAGAAAAGCATTTATCACCAAACTAGGAACCAGGGAACATCAATTTAAAGAGGCCAACTTCAAATTTTCTCAAGTCAAGAATAATGGAGCTCTCAGAAAATTTGCATACCTTATGTTCAGGTTGTGAAGGTAGAGGTAATATGGGTTTCTGCACTTCTGCTGCAGCTGTTGTTGGTGGCGGTGCTGACAATTCTGGTGATGATACCTGCACCACCTCAACATCCTTTTGAGTTATCTGTGAAGACTGCAGTGAGGGAACAATGGGAGGGCCAGGCTGCGAAAATTGGCCTGGTGTCACCAGATGTGTTTTTCCCTCGTTCAAAACTGAACTTGATGTCCTCATGATGAAGGATGGAGGTTCAGACATTCTTTTAAAAGGCATTATTGGATCTGGGACTGTCTTGGGCAGGTAAGAACCTGGTGATGCAATAGCAATTTTATCTACACCAGTAGTCAATGGGGATGCCAATGGCAAGTTACTAGGAAGTGTTTGAGTAGAAACCCTATCAGGAGTTAAATTTGTTGAGTCTGAAACGATCGCAGAAGACCGTGAAGAAGGAAGAGTAGAAGTCTGCAAATTTAAGGTGCTTGTACTAAATGGTGGCAACAAAGGGGGGCTTTCTAACAATGGAGAAGCTGAAGTGTTGGATGCATTCATGGCAGGATACTGCACAGATTGCATCGTGGAAGGTGGCATTGACAAGCCAGGTGGGGGTCGAAGCAAAGCTTGCTGTGGGGCCTGAACTCCATTGGAGGCCCCATAGTACCCCTGCCAATACATTGGCATGGCAAGCCCACTACCATTTGTGGTTGGAAGGAGATGTGATGGACCCCATGATTCTAAACTCGCATCAGGCTGATATTGGGGAAGACTACCTTGAAATGTTGGCCTGGGAAGACCACTGGATGAAGCATGGGAACTTGGATCTGTTAGAGATCCATTACCAGAAGAAGGCAAATTCATGGATGCAGTTGCTGCTTGAGGATTCTGAGACTGCACAAGGGAATTTAAATAAACAATAATGTGCTTAAGTAAAGCAAGACATTCTTTTCATCAGTCCATGTCAAGCCTGGATAGAATAAGCACTATTCATATTTTATACAAGTTATACCAAGTAACTAATGAAACTGACTTCTGGAATCACATGTCCATATACGCAAACAAAATCACTTAGATTAGCAATTTTCTTTTCCTAAGTTTATCATGTGAGTTATGAAGGGGGGGCAACCCTTGCTAGACAGAGTTTTCTCTGCAGTTCGACCTCTGGACCTCTCCCTTGAAAAGGGGGAGAGGCAGTACTACTTGTACCAGAGGTCCCATGGTAAATTTGCTCCAAGACCATAATAATATCCAAATCTGCCATAATTTTATCACCTCAAAATCAATAATATCTAATTGATCCATGGACAGACATGCATGAGACCAATGTCATTTTCTTCACCTGGATGATTGCAGGATCACTGTGCACGGGTGTTGCAGTCTGAACAGGTGGAGAAGACTTGACCTGCAAATCCTGTGACCAAATGCACCAAAGAAAAAAAAAAGAACTGTAAAGCTATTCCATAACAACTTAAATATGGAGTATCAAATGCCACCTTAACAAAATGTTTGGCCCATAACAGTGTAATCAATGAGGGTCTATTGTAACTCCTTAAATATTCAATATGATCCTCCGAAACTCAACGAATGATGGATGCCTTTATGTTTATGCATGCTGGTATACGGCAAAGCTTTAATAATCACCCAGCTGAAACTGATACTAATCATGACATGTCCTCAGCAACATTGTCAAAAATTGCAGGGGCACTTAATTTATAATATTATACACCAAACTTTTTTGCCAGCAGAAAGGCAGGTGCTTCACATGCATATAATTCCCTGTCCAGGTCAGGCCAGCATGGTTGATGAATTCATTCCCCAATTCAAGCCTAGCACATATTGACCAGACTTAACCCAGAACTTAATGAGTGTAAATTAAAGAGAAAACACAGAAAAAAAATACAAAACCTTACAACTACCAACAGCTTGGAACGTTTTGCTAGTCCAATGAGTAGGTAGCAGAGTGTAGAAAAACCCATCCATGACAAACAAACCTTGTCTGTATGTAGCTAAAAAGCTCACACTTGTACTTCTCATGGCAGACCATCTATACAATGCTAAAATGTGTAGTTGATGAATGGCCAATCTGCTGAACATGGTGCAGGAATGACCAGAAACAACAACTTTGAAATTACATACTGTACAACAAAAATGCAAGAAATGTGAGATATTTTCCAAGCAAGTGGTGACTTAAGAGGTTGTATTGACCAAAACTAAGAGTGTCAATGTGTGAAACCATGCATGTTTTCTAGTTTAAATAAATACAGATAGTTTATCCAAGGAGAAATGAAGCATAAGTGATAGTAAGAATAATCGTTATACACATTATGCATGTCCCCAGAAAAATCCTCTTAACGTGTTGTCCAGACTTTGAATTTTCATATGCATAGCAAATGATTCTCATTGCAGACAATCAGTATACCTTGATATCAGTTCCTCGGAAGAGTATGAACTCATAAATTTTATCGCTTGGAGGTACTTGCAGGCCATCTTTTTTCCGCCCTTCCGTTCCAAACGATCTTACTGCAAATTTAAGCAATGTGATTCAGAGCCAACAGACATGCTCTACATCTTTAAACAGTATCCAAAAGAACAAGAAGGAATAAAATACAGAATGTGAAGGCAAAACTTGGCCAAAGATTTACTTCTAATATCTCTTGAGGCTGACAATTTCATTATCATCAATAATACAAGAAAGTCAAATTGGCTGAAAAACATATTATTTTGCATAGGTTCCAGAAAAATGTGGATGCTGCTACAATAATTTACATTAGGATTAGCATGAAACATAGAAGATTGTGACCCAAACTTACCACATTATGGTTCCAGTATAAGTATAATACTAAATGCCTATTAAAAAATGTATAATATTGCAAAAATGAAATAAGGTATTTCAGCAGGCGCAAAAAAAACAAGAAGCTATTGTTATGCTCAAGTAAAACATTCCAGCCATGGAAATATCACAGGTTTCATATGAAAATGGTCTGATATCTGCATGTTCTGAACTTCCATTTAAGTCATAACTTCCATTTTGTACGAGTAAAATACAATCCTGTGGTCCAGTTTTCTTCTATTTCCAAACTTCCATTTATGTCATATGCAACTTCAAGGACATTCTATGGAACAGTTAATGTTGCAATAGTTTATCAACGCTATCATATCACTTACATAACCAACAGATTCTTCCAATTAAAACAAAACACTACTGAACATTGCACAAAATAGAGTGCTATACCCTACTTTTCATTCTTTTTCTTTTCTTTTCAAAATAGCATCCTTTCTCTCAATGATGAATAACATCACCTTGAATCATAAACAAAAATTTCTAATTCCAAGAGTGCCATGAAGCAGATTTTGCAACCATGCCTGCCTTAATTTAATCCTCTTAAACAACACAACCTCTACTCTTCAAATATAAGCCCATATCAAATGTGTCAATGCTGATATCTTTTACCACCTTCCACCAGGCATAGAACTTTGAACTGGGCTCGCAAAATTTTCTTTACCAATAGAAATTCTCTCAAGTACAAATGAACCTTCCATTGTTAAATACAATTTGCATTTCAACATCTACATTCATACATACATGACTTGTACCAAAAAGAAAAGAACTCTAAAGCTCCAACCCACATTACAAAATCACAGTGACACAAAACCCATTTGAGATTGAAAGAATCTCTGTCTTAACAACCAGAAAACAAAAAACCAGAAAGCAAAACCCAACACAAATGTATAAAGAAAGACCCAAAAAATGAGGATCAAAATGTTTACCATTTCTTAAGCCGATGGTGGATTCTTGAGTGTTGATGTTAAAAAGAACGCCTTCATAACGAATCTCAGACTTTGAAGTCAAGCTAATCAAGCTACCTACATAGGAATCTGCTGATGATGACCCACCACCACCACTACCTGTAGAAGAAGAAGATCGTGCTGCCTCTGCTGTTGTAGCTGCCATGACTTGAAAACAATATCAAATAAAGATTGATGCTTTCTTGTTTCTTTGCCAAAGTAGAAATGGAAGAAAAAAAGTGAACGCAATAGATGCAAAGGGTGTGTCTTTCTTTCTTTCTTTGTGTTTTGGCTTTAATAAAGGGGCAAGCCTTCTTGTTTAAGTCGTTTGTTGGTCTGCTTATGTCCCTCTTTAATGAAAATTGCTGTATCCGTAATTGTTCCATTCCATTTACTTTAATAATTGAAAAGCAAATATGTAGTACTGTATCTATATTTAAGTTTTAGGATATTGCTTTGTTGTGGTTTAGATTAATTTATTTTTTAAAGTAAAAAAAATCTAAATATTTTTTTATAATAAAAAATAACTATAAACGTAAAATGTGATATATAAACATATTTTAAAAAAGTATGATTGATATAAAGATATATTGAATGATATTTATTTTTAAATATTAAGATGATGATATATTAAATTGATCTAAATTAACTTATTAAATCTTTAATCCGATTCATGAAACTATGATAATCTTATTAAAAACAAATTAAAATAAAATTATAAATGTTAATTTTTAATAAATATAATATTTAAAGATAAAATTAAAAAAATATTAAATTAAAAAAAAAAAACCTACCTAAGTCAAACTCGCAAACCAATATATATCATGGAATCAGGAGAACTCTATGAAAAATAAAATTAATAAAATACAAAATTTAATTTTCAATCAATCTAATGTTGAAGAATAAAATAAAAAAAATAAAGAATAAATAAGTCAGCACAAGCTAACATGTTAAACTTGCAACTTTGATTATAAAATCGAAATAACTTGATAAAAATAATTTTTTTAAAAAAAAACAAAGTTTTATTTCCAACAGATCTAATATTGAAGGTTAAAATCAATAAAATAAAATAAAAAACTAAATTCATGAGACCAAGATAATTCAATAAATAGCAAATTAAAAAAATTATGAAATTCAGTTCCTAATCAACCTAATATTAAAAGATAAAATTAAATAAATAAATAAAAGTAGATTGAGTTGTTAGAGGATAAAATTGAAAAAAAATATTCAATTAAAAAAGAACCCAAAAAAATAAACTAAGTTAACCCAAATAAACTTGGCAAACATGCAAATCTGATGATTAGATCAGGATAACCCTTAAAAATAAAATAAAAAATACTCAATTAAAAAAAATAAACAAAGTTAATGTAGGGAATGAGATTAGGATAATTTTATAGAAAAGAAATATAAAAACATCATGAAACATAATTTCAAGCCATTCCAATGTTGAAGAATTAAATAAAAAAATCAATTAGAAAAAGTGATCCAAAAAAATAAGTCAAGTCAACTTGTTAAACTTGTGATTTGGGTAATAAGATTAGAATAAATTAATAAAAGCAATAAAAAGATGAAATCCTTCTTTCAGTAGATCTAAAATTAAAGTTTAAAATCAAAAAATAAATAAATTCATGAGAGCGATATACAACCTAACAAAAAGAAAATAGAAAAAATTATAACAACAATTCTCAAAATAACCTAATATTAAAGAATAAATTTGAATAAAAAAAACTAAACAAAAAGGAAGAAGATTGGTTTGGTAAATAATAAAAATGAAAAAAAAAATAATAAAATTATTTCAACTAATAGTAGTTTGCATAGTTATCAAACCTAACTTAACGGGTCAACCTAGGATCTAAGTGACCTGAAGTTTTGGTCAGGTCTATTTCATTCAAAATTCAAGCCTGCGATTGGTCTTGAAAAAATCATTAAACCCACCAAGTGACCGGTAAAATCCAATGGAGACCTGATTTTTTTTAAAAAAATTGTTTTTCTCCTAGCCAGAAATTCTTTTTTCATATTTCTTAGTAGGTAATTAATTCATTTCAAAATTCATTATATAAATACTGAAAGAATGTTTTATTTTTTTAATATGAAATTTGAAGCCCTTTAATATATATACTCTATGTTCACAAGAAAAAAATTTACATTTTTTCAATGTGGGATAAAAAATCTTTTTAGTTTAAATACTTCAACTTAAAAAAATAAAATAATATCTTTCCAATGTGAGATAAAAAAAAAATTTAATAATTTTTTAAACTTCATTATTTACAACATGTATAATCTATATCTATATAGATTATTTTTTAATTTTTTTATATAAAATAGTAAAAATTTAAATATTTTTGTTTAATTTTTTCAAGTTGACCGGAGTCAACTCATGTAATCCGAGACCTCACTTTTTAGTTAGGTCAACCCCTAAACCAAATTTGATAGTTATGGTGTTTTATGGGTGTAACTGAAATAATTTAACAATTTCTTTTAATGTTTTGTGTGTGTGTACGTGTAATTTGAGATATTAATTTATTTTGATATAAATAATAACGGTTTCAAATATGTTTTAATTATTTTTCATGAAAGTTATATTTTATGATAATAGATACAACAAATAAATCATTAACTATCAACTTTTTAATAACTTTAAATTCTAGGAATTCATTATCGTCATTATTGGTAATAGAATCAAGATTGTGATATGACATGGAAGCCTCTCTCCAACAAGTTTCATTACTTGAAATTCAAACATAAATGTTAATTTATTTTCCTATCCATTAGAATTTTTGAAACAAATAAAAAAAATCATGAAAGATTATACATATCAAAATTTATAATTATTTGAACCCTTGAAGATATCAAATCTAGTAACTAGATAAAACAATATTAAAAATGAATAGAAATTATAAAAATGAAGAAAAACAAGGGTATTATTAATGTAATTTTCAAAAAAAATGAAGAAAAACAAGGATATTATTAATGTAATTTTCACTATTGGCTATCCAAATAAATCTCTTTTCATGGGTAGGTTGTTTAAAGGAGGGAGGGAGAGAATAAATATTGTTTGAATTTTTATTTTTTTAATAGAGGGAGAATTGAAACCAACTCTCACTACAATTTATGTGTCTGTTAACAATGATGTCTGTCATAACCTGGTTTTAACACCCCTTTAAACATATGTTCAAAAATAAATAAAAAAATATTTTTAGACTAGGGAGTTAAATAAAATGAATCAAAATAAAGTTTATATCCATTTTCAAAATAATTAAGGGAGATAAAAGAAATTTGAAATTTAAAGAAAATAAAGAATTTTAAAAATTAAAGAGAAAAGGATGGGGTCAAAAGATAAAAAGATAGAAGGAAAAATAAATTCAAAGATTTAAAAATTTAATAAAGAGAAGAAGATAAAAGAAAGGGATTGTAAATTTGAAATTTAAAGACTTGAGAAATAAAGACTATGAATAAAAGTAAACAGTCCAGAAACTAGAGGAATACATTGACAAACCAAATATTGAAAAAAAAAAAAAAGAAACTAGAGAACAAACACCAAAGAGAAAAATAAAGAGAGACAAAATAATAATAATAATAATAATAATAATAATAATAATAATAATAATAATAAAAGAAACATTATAGGCATTAGAAAGTCAAAGAGAAAACTATTATTAAAAAAAAATTAAAGGGTGTAATGTAAATATTCAGGTTGTAAATTTATTTTTTAGATATAATCAACTATAGTATTACAAATCTCAAAATTACTAGATACTTATATAATTATTAACTTTAAGATTCTGAAAATTAGTCGGATACACGTAAACTAATTTAGATACTCATGATTAAAAAAAAACACTACAAAAAAAAGCAGGAAAAAAGAAGAAGAAGGAGTCTTGTAAAAAAGAAGAAGAAAAAGAAGAAGAAGATAAAGAAAATAAAAAATGAAAACCTCTTTCCCTCGCAAATCTAGCTGCCATTGTCAATACTTTATCCTAGCTCATTGGAATTCAATAGCCTAACGGCAACCACAGACGACTGACCACCATCTCCCATAACACCATCCCCCAGCCTTCTCTTACTGAAACAGTAAACACCTATTGAAAAACAGTTGTTGCCCATCATTTCTCCATTTCCATGGTCATATATAACCATCAACTACAACACAACATCCATATCTCCTTATAAATCAACCAGTGAATACACTCACAAGATTCAATCGCAACCCATGTCACACCTTCACCGAACACTCCAACCTTCAATCAAGATCCAATGGTATCTTGATTTGTTCATATAAAAATCAAACCTATATGTATGTTTTATCTTAAATGTTTAGACAAGCAAAGAATAAACTTATGAATACCAGTTTAGGCAAACAATCAGCATGCAAGCACTATATATATATTTTATCATAAATGTTTCTACCTCGACATCAATTAGTACTTTCACAATTAAAAAAATGAATCACCACCTAATAATTAAAAAAACTAAGAATCCTAAATTATATTATGTAGATATTTGGAATAGAGGTTAGTTATATACAGGAAAGATAAACATCATTATTATCGTATCTTTTCAAATGGCATGCTATATTTTTTATTTGTTTTCTTTTAAATTCATTTTCATGTCAGTAGTTATCATAGCTATTTTTTTAAGCTCTATTTTTCACCCCTAAAAATAAGAGACTCGTCATCTTGGCTATTCATGAAAAACAAATTTGACATCTATCCCTAAAAATAAGAGATACACAATATTAGGCTATTTATGAAAATTTGACTCATCGACTTATCCATTCATAAAAATTTGACTCATTAATTTGTTCATTCATGAAAATTTCAACATTCATCCTTAAATATAGGAGACTCGTTGATATAATTTTTATTATTGTTTGAAAAATAAATATTTACACACACTTGCATATTGAAAAAGGAACACACCATAATTTTTATGAAATGATAATAATGCTATTACAATGAAATTTAAAACAAAAAAAAAATACACAAATGAATGAAAAGTAGCCCATTTTTTTAAATGAATCTTTACACATGCATGTGTTTCTAAAAAATACAACAGAACAATTTTATGAAATAAATATAATATTATTTCATATCTCATAAAAATAAAATAAAATAATATATAAGTGAAAAGTTGTTGATTTTCAAGAACAAATTGTTTCACACACATGCATACATAAAGCGCAATGATATGGTTTATGAAATGAATTTAACACTATTGTAAAGCTAGTAAAAATAAAATAAAATCTAAATAAAATAAAATAAAATGCATGAGTGAAAAGATGCAGATTTTAAAAATGAACATATAGTTATATGAAATGAAATTGACATGAT